GGTGTGTGTGTGTGTGTGTGTGTGTGTGTGTGTGTGTGTGTGTTAGTGTTGTCTAGCTCAGAGATGGTCAACCCCACAAATGGTCAATCCCGAAGGGCAGAAGGTGTGTGAGTGTGTGAGTGTGTGAGTGAGTGAGTGAGTGTGTGTGTGTGTGTGTGTGTGTGTGTGTGTGTGTGTTAGTGTTGTCTAGCTCAGAGATGGTCAAACCCCACAAATGGTCAATCCCGAAGGGCAGAAGGTGTGTGAGTGTGTGAGTGAGTGTGTGTGTGTGTGTGTGTGTGTGTGTGTGTGTAGTGCGGTCTAACTTAGAGATGGTCACCCCTGCAGGACTGAAGGTGTGTGTGTGGTGTGGTCTGGCTCAGAGGGTGGGGCCCAGGCTACAGTGACCCTATAGTATAGCACAGTTTGAGCAATGGAATGGGGAGGCATGCCTTTGCTGATTATCTGGAGAAAGTGCAGTTTTCTCTATAAAGGGAGGCCCTGTCTCAGCAAAAGGCCCAAAAGGGAGTGTATGGACCAAGCCAGTGTCGGGTGGCAAACTCAGGCAAACAGGGCGAGTGTGGGAACGTGAGCAGACACAAGCAAACCGGGGCTGGGGCAGCCCTTAAAGATCACCTATGCTGCCTGCCCACCCTGGTTAACTGGACCCTACAGACCAGAGCAAGGATCGCGGGGTTCTCCCCCTGGACACCAAGTATTTCTCATAGTTTCCCATGAGGCACAGTCCAGGATGCACTGGGAGATGCTAGGCAGCAGTGAGGGCAAAGGCGGTGAAACTACTCAAGGAATTCTGACCCCAGAGTTCTCTGAAATACAGGGTCCGCCAAGGAGCTGACACACTACACGAGGGTGAGCTAAGACGGACTGTTTGGCTGAGGGCCCTGGGCACCTCACAACTCTTTCACAGGACCAGAAGGGACATGGTTATTTTCATGCTGACATTAAGATGGGTTCTCAGGCTCCTGGTCAGTTTCTCAGACTGTGTGAGCATGGCACTGGTAAGTCTAACACAAAAGCAGGTTCAGAGAAACCACGGCCCTGGAGGCAGACGGTGGGAGACAGCCACGAAGCGGCACAACAGTGGCCCTCCTCTCATTCGCTTGGTTTGCTGCTTGGGAAACAGCTGTCGCTATCTAGGCTAACACGCCATTTATCTACTTTACAGGGAAGGGTAAATATTTAAGTTCTCTGTTCTAATTTTCTAATACTGTAAATACTGTTAAGATCAAATTCTTATAAACAAAACTCCTTGGGGGACCTCAATAATTTTTGAGACTGTAGAGGAGTCTGGAATGCTTGAAAACAGACCCAGGCTGCAACTGGTCAACCTAGACTGAGGATGAATGGGAATTCAGATGAGGCCTGTAAGCGTTTGTCCTGAGACCTACGCAGTGTGGCACCAGTCAGTGTCTGTACCCAGGGTTCTCTGGAGGTGTGACTGGCTGGGCGTGGCTACATAGTCTAACCTGTGGGCCCCAAGCTGAACGCAGCACCTGAGCAGGCAGGGCTGGAGCACCACATTAGACATGAAGCAACGGCAAGTGACACCAGCTCAGGGTGCTGTCAAATTAGGCCAAGGCCTATATCAGGCACTGATTTAACAGCTGGGGTAGGAGTACGGCCTCACTATGTAGCTGTGGCTGGCCTAGATGCTGCTGTGTAGACCCTCCACTTACAGAACTCTCCCTACCTCTGAGAGCTGGGAGTAAAGGCTGGAGTGGCTTTTGACCTCAGGTCTTGGTGGTGACAGGCAGCAGGAAGAGATTTTTAGCAGAGGGGTTGCAAGATACCAGCCAAGTTACCAGGTAGCCAGCCAAGAAAAACAGTGCTGGCGTTTTCTCTGTGTTTTGTTTTTAACTTTATGGGAAAGGTACCTACCCAGCGCAGAGCTTGCAACAAGAAGGCTTTCAAGCGGTCACTCCCCCAAATCAAATCCTTCTTCAGTTTCTCATAATCCAGGGAGGGCAGTAATGGGACATCCTTCAACTTCCTACTCAGCAGCGCAAGTTCAAAGAGAAGGAAAAGGGCAAAGGGACATTTATTACGTCTCCTGAGCGTCAGGATACCTGCTTAGACTCAAGGAACCCCACAGTGGCCCAACTGCCACCCAACCATGGCTCCCAAAACACACTGGAGCCTTCCACTCAGAACACCAGTGTCCAGGCCCCCACCCAGCCTCAGCCAGCCCAGCCTTGCATGTAATGCTGGGTGGATTTCATGGAGTCTAAATTTACTACTTCTTAGATTTCCAGGCATGCAAATTTTCTATAATAAGCATGAATTACTTACATAATAAGAAAAAATTACATACTAGGTTTTGTTTCAGTTTCTATGTTCAAACAGGGTCTCACTGTGTGGCCCGGGCTGACCCTCCCACCTCAGCCTCCTGAGGGCAGTGATTACAGGCTGTGTCACCTAAGTCCAACTCCCCCAACCCAGGCTGACATTTCAACTTTGCTAAGTGCACAGGGCTTTGTAAAATAGGACACTGGGGATTCTTGGGGAGACTGGAGACATGGCTCAGTAGTTAAGGTACCTGCTGCTCTTGCAGAGGACCCAGGTTCCATTCCCAGCACCAATATGGCAGCTCAAAACCATTTGTAACTCCAATTTCAGGGGACTATGTAGTAGGAATTCTAGTAGAATTATTGTATCTAGGGTAAACAATAGAATGAAATAGTTGTTTTTCACTGTATCTAGGGTACACATCAGAATGAATAGTTGTTTTCTAAAAGTACTCTGACCTTGAAGAAATCATTGTAGAAAACAGTGATTGTTTTCTGTTATCTATGAGTTGTTTTTCTGAAGGAGCTTTACTGCCTTTGCATGACTTTGGTCACAAGATGGTCCTGTCACACCTGGAATGTCTTGCATTACTGAGTATTGCGAGCAGTACACAAAAGGACTAAAGTTTCAGGGGCATGATGTTTTCCTTTGGGAAACATATAGATTAGATGAGGGGCTTTGGTATGAGAACCTTGTTTTATCTAAAAACAATTCCAGCTTAACAATCAATAGCTATGCCTTTGCTGGCTGTTGGGAGGTTCAGTCCAGGCAGGCTGGACCTCCCTGCTCCCTCAGAGCCTGATTACTTTCTGGAGTATCACCCTTTCTTAGATGCATAGCCATAACACAGACCACTGACAGGACCCAATGGCCTCTTCCTGCCTCTGAAAGCACTGTATGCATATGGGTACACACAGGTAAGAAAGCTGGAACACACACACACTCAAAAATAAATACATTTTCAAAAGAGAATTTTTAAAAAGAATTTTTAAATAGTTTTTTTTGTTTGTTTTTTTTTTTTTTTTACATCTCAAGATTATTATAACAAGCTGGTATGGTGGCTAATACTTATAATTTCAGAATTTGGAGGCTGAAGCAGGAGGATTACGAAAAGTTTGAGGCTAGCCTGGACTACATCATAAGTTCCAGGCCGGCCTGGACTATACAATTTAAAAAAAAAAAAAATTTTTTTTTTTTTTAATTTAAAGTGTAATGCCAGGCAGTGGTGGCACATGCCAGCACTCGGGAGGCAGAGGCTGACTGTGTGTTCAGAATAGCCAAGGCTAAAAACAGAGAAACCTGTCTCAAAAATAAGTAAATCAATGAATAAAATTTAAAGTATAAACAGGTCCTTGTTCTCAAGAAAAAATACTGTAACTGTAAAATCCAGTCTGGTCCTATGGAGCTGGGGCTTCCTCCAGCGGGAAGGGAGACGAAGGGCTCTCTGTGGGCTGTGCACACTGGCTGGGACGGAGTATTACCAAGGGGCCCAGTATTTTCCCACTGACCAAGAAATTGGGTCATGCCTCCTCCTATGTCCTCTCAACATCCGTCACAAACCCACCCCTTGTTTTCGGTAGGAGAGCCTACGCTTACATCATGGAGAATGCTGGCAAACATGTGGAGAGCTTACTGTGTAGTGTACTGGTACAGCCCCCACGCCACCCAGCAGCCCCCTCTCAACAGCCCTGCAGTACAGGCACACCACTCTTCCCACTCTTCAGGGAAAAGAGCTGAGGCACACAGGCACAGTAAGCGGTCCAAGTACCACAGCTGGGGGCAGGGGCGGATTTGAACCAGGCTAGCTGTGCTTGTGAGAATCACACTCTCTGCCAGTAAGTGGCAGCTGAGGATATAGTGCCAGGACCATGGGAGAATCGGGCAGGGGAGCAGGCAGGTTGTAGCCACCTCTGGTTCTGAGTCATCTCACACACCACACGCTGGCTTAGAGGTTAACCAGAACCTGCCTATTCTAGTCCTTAAGTCCGAGTTCAAGCTTTCCACTTCCTCGCTGCTGCAACACAGAGCTGATGAGGTGCAAGTGTCACACACTTCTGTGGTGACAGCCTAACTCAGTTGAATAGGCAAGGCAAACCCCCTGAGGATTTGGTCACAGTGTCAGCCAGCAGAAGACACAGGACTTAAGACACTGCAGTGTCTGCTAACTGTGGAATGGTGGGGAATGTGGTATTCTAGAGAATAGCATGGGAGTAAGTCAACAGTTTTTTGCTATTTCATGCTACCTTACAAGAATCAATGTTGAAGATAATTCTAGTTTAGTATAATTTATAATTACTGGTATTTCCTTTCATATCCACATGTAGTTGGATATTTAGTGAAGCTATCTTGAATTCCAGTTTTACACTGAGCTATGAATAGGGAGCTGGAGAGGCGGCTCCATGAATAAGGCCATTGGCTGCTTTTCCAAAAAGTCTTGGCTTGGTTCCCAGCCCCCACATGATGTCTCACAATGCTGCGTAACTCCAGTTCCAGGGTATCTAATGCCCTCTTCTGGCTTCTGCAGGCACCAGGCATGCATTGATGTACAGACAGACATACGGGCAAAACACCCATACCCATAAAATGAAAGTAAATAAAATTCTAGAACACAATTAATAAAAACTGCTAAGAATGATTACTTACTCAGGAACCAAGGAGGCTCGCAACATGGTTGAGGCCTGAGGGAGGAGAGGAGCAAACAGACCATGTTAAACACTGTCAGCAATGCATCAACCTGAACCCCTTCTAACATCACATAAGCAGCCATTTGCAAAGTGTTTAGTGTCTTCCAAAGGCATATATGATTTAAGAGCCAGCCTAAGCTTACTGTGAAGGAATTCACCACCATGCCCATTCTCAAGCAACTGCCCTTGACCTATTGAGACTCTTACGTCAAACTCTATGAAAAATAGTGGGATCTCCTATCCAGACTTAGAGCTGACTAATCGTAGACACCAAGAAGAACAAAAGCAGAGTCAATTTTTATACATCCTTTTTTCCCCCTAAGAAGATATTTCTCTTTAAGTACAAAGTAATGTCATTTTGTGCCAAGCCAAGTACCCCACTCCACAGGTACCCTAAAGAAAAAATGTACCGTTCCCTCTCACCTCACCGCTCACCCTTTGTGCAGGCCGGCTCATCACCTCCTGTACGGACAGTCACGCTGCCCCATGTAGCTCGTGTGTGTATGCATGTGTACAGCCTCAGGTTTTGTCACTGTGGGCACGGCCGCATTAAATATGAGGAATGGAGAGGAACAGACAAATCCAACAGGAGGCATGTATGTGACAACGCAAACCAAATAGAAAAGAAAACTGAGACATTAAGAAACTTGAGTAAAGCCAGGTGGTAGTGGGGGTGCACATCTTTAATCCCAGAGGCAAGGCAATCTCTGAGTTCGAGGCCAGCCTGGTCTACAGAGCAAGTTCCAAAACAGCTAGGGCTACACAGAGAAACCCTGTCTCAAAAAACAAAAAAAAAAATTGAGTATGGCCTGAATTGGTAGTGGGAATCCCTATGGATTCTATTTGTGGGTTTTATTCGTTTTTTAAATCTCTCTGTTAGATGTGAATTGTTTATTATTTATTTCTTTATATTGGTGAAGACGGTGTTTGGAACTACCTTAAAAAAACTAGGGGAAAAGAGGAAGAGGGTGGGCATAGCTAAATGGCAGAGTGCTTGCCTAGCACCCTCAGTTTGCAAAGAAAAGGAAAAAAAAAAAAAAAAAAAGAACAGGGCAGAACAAAACAGACCCACAGAGAGAAAACTAAGCAGAGGAAAGAATGGAGGCAAGTCTTTCAAATGCCATCAATTCCTGAAGCCAGCGAGAGACACAGACTCTTTCCTTTGGGAGTTTCTGAAAATACGTCACTTTCATGTCCCAGCACTGGGCATCCGAGACACCCGTCAGCACTTGACGAAAAAGTGAAGACTAACTCGAGTCGTTCCAGAGCCCCCACTGATACCAAGGACATGGTCTTGCTAGTGACCCAGTACTGCAAACTCCACCAAGTTTGCAGACCACAGATTCCAGATTCAAACTCCATTTCTTTTTGTTTTACTCGTCTGTGTAGCCTTGGCTGTCCTAGAACTCACTCTGTAGACCAGGCTAGCCTGGAACTCAGAGATCCGCCTGCCTCTGCCTCCCGAGTGCTAGGATTAAAGGTGTGCTCCACCATGGCCCCGCTGTGCCTCACTTCTAAAGCCTCGTGACTTTTTTTTTTAAAAGACTTTGTTTTCATAGTTTTTGCATTGCTGAGGTCTGAACCCAGGACCTTACAAGTGCTAGGCAAGCAGGCACTACCCAGTTATACTCCCGGCTGTTTAGTCCTTGGCCGTTTCGATAGATGACCTTCTCCTGTTACTAACTTATAAGCAGTGTGGAAACAAGACTGAGATGCCTAAAGTACGCTCACATTGAAGACAGCAAGGCAGGACGGCAGGAGGCAGACATGTCAGACAAGGACATGGAGCGGCTAAAATGTTCCTACACACACGGAACGCAAGTCTGAAAACGCCAGTCATGTCAGCTCATTCCTAGCTCCCCAAGGAAACTCCACTCTCCGAAAGAAGTCTCTCTCAGGCCCTCCTGCCACTGGGCCAAGGGTCTTCCACCAGTCACTTTGCTCCGCCTCCTTCTCCCTGGCTCCACCTCAGGCACACCTCTCCTCTCTCTCCAGCATCCTTCTTTTCCGTTCAGCTGAGTGCAATGGGACTGAGGCCTGCCCGGCACTACTCTCTGCCCTTACCTTCTCATAGCTTCCAAATTCCCCTTTCTCTGTACAACTAAACTCTCCAACGTCTGCACTGTGCGCCGAGCGGGTTTCCTCTCCTAGTACAGTGGTTCTCTGTAAAATGGACTTTCATTCACCTGCTTTGTTGACGTGCAGACTTACTGTCTCTGTCTGCTAACCTAGGCCTAGAATGTTTTCAGTCTCTTAGACTCATGCTGAATAAGCTCACCCTTTCTAGTTCTTACTGAGCTCTTAGCTGGCCAGTTCAACTCAGCTGCTCTGGCTCAAACCCCTCTCTCAGTGGACTTATTCGATCTGGCTTCTCTTTTCGCTTCTGCTTGGTCTCAAACTCTTTTCTAATCTTCTGACTCCTTCTCATTCTCTGGCTCATCCAGTCTTCACCTGAGTTCTCTCTATGCAACCTGTCTATCATTGTCCCGTTAAGACTGCCTCTTTATTCTTTCTCACTGACTCTTAAATAGCTCCCCCTTTCTCTTTCGTCTGTGAGAGTTGGGCATACCCTATTCTGCCAAGTCTTTCTCAGATTCATCAGGTTTTCTGCCTCTCAATTAGACATCATTTTCAAACATGGGCACTTCCTTCTACAAACTGACTTTACCTTCATTGTTTGGGATTAAAGGCATGTACCAACATGCCTGGACCTAAGTTTTTCTATACCTGAAACTTGCTCTATACCAGGCTGGCCTTGAATTCAGATCTACTTGCCTCTGTCTCCTGGATGAAAGGTGTGTTTATACTCCAGCTGGATCACACAGACCTAGAAGATCTTTGGATGTGATCTCTTGCCAGAGCAGCCATGTTCTGAATTAAAATTCCTCTACAGCTCTCAACATTCCTAAAACTGTGACCCTTTAATACAGTTCCTCATGCTGTGGCGACTGAAGGGACTCTAGCCAGCCCAACCATGGCAAACAGGGCTCTGGCAGGCCTTGACCTTCTCCCTGATTCCCTCTGCCTTTCTAAAAACTGTTATATTACACCCCTAAAGTTAGCCACCAAGGACTATTCCCTTATTTGGCCACTTCTTCCTCCCAAGGCTGACTACCAAGATCCAGCTATCCAAGTACTAAAGTTCAGCAATCAAAATGAACCTTTGGCTTGACTAATTAACATGTCCAATTAAAATTAAACACCTCATCCTAACACAGGGTTTCCCCTTGTACTTTTATAAACCGTCATTTCCTATGGGTCATGTCTGTCTCCTCACTGTTCAGAAACAGTCCTGTGCCCCACTCCGGAACAAGTATCACTTCCCTCTCTCCCTTGTTCCTTTCTGCTTCTCCCTTGTCCTGTCTCCCGACTTTGTCTCTTATTCCCTGCCCTCTGTCCCCCTGGGGCAAACAAATCTCCTTTGTGCTGAGAACTTGGTCTTGGGGTATCCTGAGCTGATAGCGTTCCCTACGGTATCGTTACTACTTCATAACTGTAATTTTGCTATTGTGATGAGTTGTAACATAAATGTCTGACATGCAGGACATGACTCCCACACTGATCCGTGACTCCCACACTGAGAACTGCTGCCCCAGGAGCTCACACATGCGAGTGAGTCTGCCCCCAGAGGACATTTGGTAATGTCTGCCGATGCTGTTGGTTGTTGCAACTCTACTCAAGGACTTACGTGATTTTCTGGGTCATTTTTGTTTTGTTTTTGCAACTGCATCTCATATAGCCCGGGATGAATTCAAACTTGCCATGGAAACAAGAATGACTTCAAACTTTTGATTCTCCTGCCTCAGTCCCTGGTGTACTGGGACTTCAGGTATCCACCACCATACCTGGTTTTACATGGTGCTGGGGCTCCCCAAGGCTTCAAGCATGCTAAGCATGTATGTTCTCTAACAACCGAACCACATCCTTAGCGTTGTACCCTCACTGGCTTGTTAATCGTCTTATTGTTTCCCAACTACCGTGTCTGACACAGAGCACAGTCAATATCTTCTGACATTAACTGAGTGACTCAAGACCTGTCCTTCCATCCATGATACACAGGCGGTGTCCACGTAGAAAGGCCAGTGAGAAAAACCTGTGGGTGGGGACCCCAGTGAGGGCAGAACAGGTCAGTATTCTTCCCTGCCTGCCTGTGCCAAGCTACTCTCTCTGCTGGGGCTGCTTGAGAGACCAGTTGTAGCATGCAGGGTGAAGGCTGGCCTCCACACTGATGCCTGGGATTGGCCCTCTCAAAGAAGCTCTACTCCTTTCCCTAATAGAGAAGGTTTGGCTTTGTTTGGTTTTGAGACGTGACCTCATGTAGCCCAGGCTGGCTTCAAAGTCACTATTTTACTGAGAATGACCCTGAGTTTCTGGTTCTCCTGAATGCTGGGATTGCAGTATGAGCCATGGTCCCTACTGTGTGCGGTGCTGGGGACTAAACCCAAAGCCTCCCTCATGCTAGGCATTCTACCAGCGGAGCCACAGGCCAGCCCCACACGTGCTGGTCGTTGTACAGACACTACGGAGGCCGTTCTCAACATCTGCTGAGCAACCCTTGATGCACACTGGGTCTCTAAGCTGTCCGCTGCAGGCTCTCAAGCCACAGCTACTGCTGCCTGCATTTGCTTCACTGCTCCACAGCTGTGAGCACCGCAGTGCGTGCAGCACAAGCAGAGCCCAACAGCTGGCAGGTAACAGTGCCAGTAGGAGAAAACAGGAGGCCACAAAAATCTATCACAACCAGAACAAATCTCTCTACTAAAGCCGACAGTGGGGGTTTTGTTTGCTTTGGTTTTGGGGCTTTTTGAGACAGGGTTTCTCTGTGTAGCCCTGGGTGACCTGGAACTCACTCTGTAGACCAGGCTGGCCTCAAAATCAGAGACCTGTCTGCCTTTGCCTTCCAAGTGCTGGTATTTAAAGGTGTGCTCCACCACTACCCAGCTGTAACTTCTTGACACTGAAAGAGCAAACCTCAGGAAAAATGCCCTTGTTAT